TCTTTCAAATTTCAAGCATTACATCCAGAAGCCGCGGTTAAGCTGATAAGCAGTCGGTCTGGAATTCTAAGTTGGTTGAATTCGCCCTCATCGGACGAACCTTTTCAAGGTAGCGCACCTGAGAGTGAAGAACACGACGACTGGCCAGGGCAAGAGAGAGCAGCCGAAACCAACGAATCATCTTCACTGCAGTCAGAACCATCTTCAGTGGAAAACAAAACGTCCGGCCAGCTGTTACGAAAGAGCCGACAAGTGAAAAAAATCCATCGAAGCTCAGGGACTATGTGCTACGGAAGCGATGTTTTTTTTTGTTTTTTTATCAGCCGAGGAAATGATGTACATAGGAAAGAAGCTGATGAGCGCGTGGGATCGGAGAATAAAGAGAATGATGTCAAGGCATCGGATGCATCGTTTCTGTATGTTCTAAATACAACACTCATCTGCTTGGTCACTGTAGAACCAGCACTTCGCCTGATGGCGGCAAACTCTCTTCTTCTCCTGCTCTACGCACGCTGGCCCAAAACTTTTTTTATCTTCTACTCACCACCCTCCGCTGCTCGCTTATATACATTCGCTCTGGGTTCTGGAAGGTTCCTTGGCATGCTGTACAGCCAAAGCTGGGGAAAAAGGAGACTTTTCCTCGAAGTATCCGAGATACGTGAAGCAACTAGGGAGCGACGGACGCTTTCCTTCTTGACGATTCTGGAGGTCGCTCGGCGATGAATGCGAGAAGGTTGGTAAGCGTAGCGTGGTGCCTTCGAGAAGAAGGCGACACGCCCGAGGGGTCATTTGATGCTTGTTTTCTTCTTTTCGCCGGTTTCTGTCGCATCATTCTGGCGTCTAGATTTCGCGCAGCGCTTAGAATTAGGAGGCACGCGCTTTTTTGAGCGCTCGTTTGTGACATCCAGAGAAAATTTTCGAGCATGTCCATCAGCTTGGTATTCTCTTATCGCGTTGTCGAATCGTTCCTCCAGCACTGGCTTTGCAGGAAAGTGTCATGCCTGAACAGTGAGGTTGTCGCACAGCAACAGCTCGCATCTTTGCTCCAGTGGAGCTCAGGTGACTTTGAAGAAATTGTGGCTTCGAATTATCGCTTCTTTTGCTGTATTTCCTCGTTGAGTGGCCGCACTGTCTCGTTCTCAGTTGCTGTCAATGATAAGCAGAACGTAGATACCCATGATATCGACATGCGAGAGTTGTTGCAGGGAGCGAGGGATGTCTGTGTCAACCCAGCTCGTGTGAAGTAGACAGATTTGCATAAAAGCACTGTAGAATTACGCTCTTCGAATGTTTTTATGTTATCGGACCTTGAATTGTCCGCCCAAGATTTGTGTTAAACGCAGCTAAGCTTCGGTTCTGCTCATGCAGATGAACTTCATTGAGCATAAATTTGCACAACTAGTCCACTCCCAGAAGCAAGCTTATTCCAGTCTCTGCTTTTAATCCAGGAATTGCGGTCATGTCCGCAATGAACTTCCTTTCATGTAGCAGCTCTTGCGCAAACTGGTTCTTACGTGCAAAGTTCCATCTGCTGCTCACAGATAAATGGTACTTCTATAGCTTCTATTTTATGTCTAGAATGATCGAATCAACTAATTAGCATCACTTTGACAATGTTTAGTTATCTTTACAGTGCTCTGCTCACTCCTCAAGATGCTGTTACATTCATTTCGATGGTGGGCACGTGTGGGCAGGGTTCAATATCTGAGATATATCTTCTCTAATAAAGGTTCTTTGGCTGCCATTATCAAGTACACCTCTGATAAAGCATGAGTCACTTTCGGTTATCAACGATGCACGAAATGTCCGTTGTAGGACCACATTTTCTTTATATGGGGATGATGACTTATCAGTTTTCACATTTAAAATAGCGTCCCTTGCTTCATTTGAGTGCTTCTTTTGAGTGTATTCAGGGTTGTAAACAACTGTTGAGTGCCTTCCGTTGCACTTAGGCAAAAGTTACAAGATAATGGCGATCTTTAGACCGATGTCCTTTGATGGTGCACTTGAAGCACCTACTAGATAGGACAGCTCTTTTCATGCAAGCTAATGTCGGTTGTGCATGACTCTGTAGTGTGTGCTGTAGAAAGGCGAAAGAGGCATGTATCTTTTTCAATTCTAGCATGGCTGCTCAACGCAGCCGTAGGTTGAGCCTCATGAAGCATACCATGTCGGCGATTTTGGGCACCATGACCACAGGTGTCCACGATGGCAGTTCTCTCACGAGCCTCCACCTCCATGCGCACGTAACCGAGTAGCTCCTGAAGTTGTGCCTCCGACGATTGCAAGTACTTCGACGTTCCTTTGAAGGCTCTGTTGTTTGAGGTATTCTACCAAAGTATCTCCGGGAATCACTTCGATGAGGACTTTAATGAGCATGGCGGCATACGAGACTTCCGGGCATCCAAACGCCCTAAATCCTCAGATAATGATGTAGACGGTGTCCAATAGGCTGCACAACAAAGCCACTTTGCTGGATGACTTTATCCGCCTTGAGTTTACGCAAGTTCGCCAGGTGCATGCAAATGAGTTCTGCGGAAACCCGCAAGGCGGCGGAAGGATTGCAAAAGGGAAAAAAGACAACCACCCATTCGTAGCACGAAGCCACAAAAAAATTTGTACGGCTTTCTCAGAAAGAAAACACACTTATTTGCCATTAAAGTTGTCCTCCACTACGGCATCTCTAATAACCATACGGTGGTTTTGGGACGTTAAACCCCACATATCAATCAATCAACCGTCCCCGCATTGTGCGGCTGACAACATTCACAACACTTGGAGTGCTTTTGGTGCATCGTCCTCTTAAAGCAGTTCCAGCGGTGCGATGCTGTGTATTGTGGTAAGGATATATGATCCATGCCAGCCCCAGCAAACATGTGCACGTAGAGGGATCCATCTCCCCGAAACAGGCAGTACAATACAGAGAATGTTGAAACGACACAACACCGCTTGTGTGCACGACGTGGCACGGGCATTTCATGCAAAAAAATTAAATGTAATCTTGTTGATGCATCTGCGTCGTGTGACCTTAAGGCTCCAAGTTGTTTCGATACCTGAACAGCGCTGGGAAGAAATTTGTCTTGCGAAATCTACACCAGGCGAGTGGCAAAGGTTTCATGCTCACCTCCTCGCATCATGTTTTTGGCTTGTAATGAACCAATAAAAATTCTAGTGGCACGAAACAACTTGCTATGTCTAAGTAAAATTTCTCATCTGACCTATAGTCCCTTACAACATAAGAATAAAAATCAAAATAAAAAAAGGTACAAGCGCCTCCTTCAAAACTGTGGCTCAGCAGCCATTATTCATCTCTGCGAGGAGAAGTGCTACGTGGTTTCGTTGCAACCACAAGTACACATTGCAGTTAACACTAATATTACGTGCAATAGTAAATTAAACTTCGACGTCCTTACTTGAAGCATTATGTTTGACAGAAAGGGTGTCAAAATCTCTGCGAAAATTCCGCAGGAAGTCAGCGCTTTTTGACCAAAAACCAGCAGCACCAACATGTGTCTTCATAATGAAACCACTGATCCAAAATGCGCCAGTAGTACTTGGTATTACACAAATGAACAAATGTGATTCGATGCAAATTTAGTCACGGTGGGATAGGTACGGTTGTGGGTGGAGCTTTAGTTTCTGTGTTCCTTTCTGTTTGTGTATGTGGCCTTTCTGTGTTCCTGTCTACATCTTTCACGTGCAAAAGTTTATGAGTATGGCAAACCAACAAGCCCAAGTTGACACCCTTCTAGTATGTTGTAATGGCTTGCTTTACATTTCCAATGCTACTTCAGAGAACAAAAACGTGCTAAACTTGGTCTTGCAAGACTTCTTTTAGAGGACAAGTAGCGGTACGCGAAAAAAACGAGACCGCCTAGAAATTGCCTAAACTTCGTCTTGCCAGACTTCCTTTAGATGTCAACTAGTGGGACATTAGCACAGTTATCCATACAGTCAGACAGCCGTCTACGGCTATAAAATGTCTTGACAGATGTCTATTAGTCCCTTTGACTAGCCGTTCAAGATGTTTATTAGACGTGAAATAGCTTCTTTTGTTTTTCATGGGAACCTACTCGCGGACAAGATTTAAGAATTTGGGCAGCTGGGGACGAGATCCATACCAGTTGAAAATTTTGGCAGGCGGTGCTTAAACACTTTGACTCTTCCTTTTGCGGCCTGTGCCAGTACTGAGAGGAGGTAGCTGAAACCTACCTCATGGTATGGGCATGCCAGCTCTATTATTCTTTACCCCTAAACCCAAATCCAAAAAGAGTACTGGGAGGCGGTCCTGTTCAGTTTCCAGGACCTTTCGGCCCAACAAGCCATGATTCAGCGTGCCAGGACAGCGGCCACGACCAATGGGGTCCCTGACTAGGGACTCCACCTAGTACTGTCGGGAAGCTTATACACTAGAGGCTGGTTTCCCCGGCAACCTCCGTTTTGTTTCTTTTAATAAACGTTTATCACCATTACCCCCAAATACGTCGTCGCCATACATGATCGTACGTGTCAAGTGCCACCGCGGTTTTGTTCTAAATTCGTTCACAATAAAATGTGATGGGTTTGCAAGAAAGCCTAAATCGGATTGGGCTGAATTTTTGTCACTGCGGCCAGATCACTCAAAGAAATTTTGATTTCCAGGATATTTTCCTGGCAACCGGACAAACGAAGGAACTGGTCGAAATACGCGAGTCTCCCGAAAAATAGATTTGGCAGGTATGCTTGAAGTAACACCGGGAAAAAAAAGGGGTGGGGGGGGGGGTGGGGGTCTGACTTCTGTTTTTAGTAGCACAAATACACACTACTAGCATAAATACTGTTAATGTGTGCTCGCAGTTGTCCCACTCATTTGCTCTAAATAGGAGGTGTACGACAAGCACTGAGGAAAAGGGGTGGGATGCTGACACAGGCTGGGGGGGGGGGGGGGGGGGGTCGATTGCTTCTACCACTCTAACCCCACCTTGAATCAGCCACTGAAGCTAAGCAGTTAATTATCTTACCGTTGCGGTGGAGGTTCGCCACTCACAAGCACTCAAAGAAAAGTCGCTGCTGCGCGGCTACTGCAGGATGAAGGCTGACGGAGGAGTGTGTACGCACTCTGCACGGGCACAGTAGACCTCGGCGAGGCATGCAGTTCACACGTTGGAGCAGTGCATCCCGCAAACTCGGCCGATTCCACGCCGATTCGTCCAGGCCTTCGTAATGCATTCTACGCCTTGACGACGGCTCCGTCGTCTTCGCACATTGTCCTAGTTCCACTTTCGGCACGGAATAAAAGACGACCCGCTGAAACTTCTGGTCATGGAGCTTGCTTCTTGTGCGGTTGGAGCAACCGCAAACTACGTATAACTAGAGTCTAGCAGAACGCAACCCGACGCGAAAAACGTGCAGCTCAGTGGGCACTTTTGCAAGTCCATGCATCACGCAGTAGTGGAGCAAACTTCCAACCACGCAGTATTGAAAAAGCAACGCACGAGAACACGGAGGGTCAGCCTAGGGAACACCACACGGCAAACACATCGGCCATGTTGAACTAGCCATGTGCTGCGTCGTGACAATCTCAAAAATGGCGCTCGGTGGTGATTGCGATGATGATGACACTTAGAATTGCGTTAGAAGTGTACTAGAAAAAACTTAAAAAAGAGAAATAAAAATAAATCACTAAATGAAGTAGAAAACGGGGCAAAGGGGAACGTAGTACAAGACCTTTACGGACCAGCGCAGAGCTCTGTTGCGGCTGTTGCTTTAGCCGCTGCGGTTGAGTTCGGGTTGTCTGTGACGTCGTGGCTTTGCTCTACATGGCGCGAAATTGAAAATTTTCGTGATTGCTGACCTTTTACGTGCTGTTATAGGTAAGCGATTTATTGGCCCTTATGACTCGCTAATTGCGTGCGCGAGAGAAAATGAAGACCAACAGGAAAGACTGAGGAAGCAGGGTTGTTTTATTAGCCAGATTACTCGCAACATACACAGAAGACTTTGCAGATGAATAAATTGTGACATCACGAGCACAATAGCTCGAAAACTCACGTTGCCCAATCACGGAAAACCACTGCAGCGAGACAGCAGCCTTGAGAATATCGCTTTGGAAGCCGTAGAGTACAGCGTCTTGTTGCTTAGCGGGCCGCATTCACCGTCACCAAAGGCCGTGCACCAGCGAAGGCTGTCAGTGAGAGCTAGTTCAGCTCTGAAATGTCGCGCTAGTGAACAGCTTACAGGCAAATAAACTACGGAAGGTACGCACGAAACGACCACGCAAAAGTGAGCGATGCCTCGCTGACCCGGCAATGCGCCGAACTATAAACACAAGATCCGATAGCAGATTGCCTGGATATACGACCCCCCCCCCCCCCCTCCCTCCCATCTCAGGCCCTCGCCCCAAAAAATGAGGCAATCAGCCATTTATCCAAGTGTCAGATAAACCGTAAAGTAAATGTGCAGTTAACGTTTACATATATAAAATTACGACTACAACCTAGTCGCGCATCAATCGTCGGCGCCTGCCTGGTGTTTTTCGCGAGGCCTGAGCGGAAGGCGTAGCACAGTCACAACGAAAGCTAAAAGAGCGGCCTTTCAGAGCCTTCTCTAATCACTCTTTGGGTAACTGCTACAAGCACACTGCTGGGTACCCACTAAACTCCGAATAATCATAATTTTTGTGCAGTAGGCCAGCATTCACAATGCTATATCCTACATCACTCTTTGGAGAAGCGTAGAACCCGCTACACGCTTGTTAGGAATTTCGTGCAATTTTTTTTATGCAGTGGCTGACAACGATCAATAATTATGCCTGAAGAGGGTATGCGCAACAGTTAAAAGATGATCAAGAACAAGTTTTCTAATGGGTTGGAGCATTGGACGACCCACTCGTTACGTGATTGACATTGTGTCACACATGGTTATTCTAAAACACTTTATTACTCATATTAACGCAATTTCTTTCCCGACATCAAGCCTGCCTAAGGTTAGCTTAGAAATGAATTTCAAGAACAGGTGTGACCGAATACTGGGCTGGTACGCGGCGGACTCAGGTTCGAATCCCATTGTGTCATTGGTGTTTCTTATTTACTGTGTTTTTTTCTTTCGATAATGGTTACGGACAACTGGCGGCGAACAACTAGGGCGCTGCGCGTGACCCATGTTCCGATCTCATAACAGCTCTCGCTGTAAAGATATTTGTGACTGCACCGTGTTATTGTTCTTAGAAACAGGTAGGAATGCTAAGCTCCAGCACAATTACCTAGCTATCCATCTTGAAATTCTGATCAGCACACAACTTTTCTACAAAAAAAAATAAACTTCCAATTTCTATAGAAACACAACCCATCACACTTCTTTAGTGTACATGTGCACTGAACCCTTTACTAGTATAACATGAAACTTTAAATGTACGAAGACTTTGCAGGCAAACATATTATTTCAGAAATGTTAGTAGAGTAAACAAAATCTTTTAGTGAGAGAATAACATTAGAAATTTACCATGGCTGAGTATACTGATATAAGCCCTCAAAAATAATGGTTGTGGTCTCAAGTGCACTGAAAGCACGAAGGAATATCACTTAGATACTAATTCTTGTAGCTGTCTTCGTGAAAAAAAAAAATCATGTAATATTCAAAACAGGTGCCCTCACCTACATTCAAATATGACAGCAAAATTTGTTTGACTGCACTGGAACACTCTATGAAGCTACTCAGGTGTCGCTGTTCAAACAGAAGGGCGAAGCATTCACAGGTACAAACGAACCCAACTGCAATCAAACCCACGTAAATTGAGTTGTCCTTCATATTGAATACTTTAGAACATAACAAAGCTTTATTGTCAATGCATAAAAAATATGTAGATACATAAAGAAAAAGAAATGCATTGAACACTTCGTACACTGAATATCAGAAAGCACGAAACACACCATGAAGTTGGCTTTCTCATCTGAAGAATTGGCTTCCGAGTACAAGGGGTTTTCATGCATACATCTGAAAGAATGAATACAGCTTTTATTGATACATTATTTCTCAAGTATAACTCGCCCCAGCATGTAAGCTGCACCTCTAACAATAAATAGTGGAAAAATAAAAACTAGAAAAAAATTCCTGCATATTCCTGCCTTCCTTTATTATGAAGAAGTGCCATGATACCAACTTACCACTAAAGTTCATGTGGAAGATACAGTTTTTCTTTAAAGTCTTATATAGAATGACACATTATTTCAACTTATTTTTATTTATTTTTTGCGAGTTTGATATATGCAGATGTGAACATACCAAAATTCGTCAAGCCGCGTACAATGTGTTAAGAGTTTACCAGTACTACATACAGCAGCAAACATTTCCTGACTAGTCAAATTAATGAGCTTGGCTGATGCTTTTAAAAGAAAAAAAATTCGGCAGATTCCATGTACCTGGGAATCGACGTATGCGAAGCATGTGGAGGGAAGATGACAGTGTTGCAATTTTTTATTGAGTGACACGTTATGGAATGATGCTAAATATATGTACAAATATTGCACGCACAGGCATAAGTTGAAGAATTGCAGATGTTTATATAACCAGTTTGCACTTGCGCAACGATGACAACTGGACAATGCGTATTAGCAACAACAGAAGCTGATATGAAGCGCTGATGCTTGTGAGGATGCTGGCCTTGGACACTGCTACATAAATCAACTTCGTGCATGGCAACTAGCCACGATTGACGTTAACCCAACGTGACGACTGTATCAAGGAAGTACATATGTAATGTTTATAAAATTGGGTAGGCAGCATTGCAACCACTATTGACGTTGCTTGAAGATTAGCATCTATATTTGAAAAGTAGTTCCGAGACCTGGCAGAGCTCTGTGGTAAAATGCTTCATTGCCACGCAGAATGCATGGGTTCAATTCCAGCTGGGACCCAGCTGGAATTGGGAGTAATTTTACAGTTCTCTGAAACAGATCAAATGTGCCTTCACAAAAACTCGGCCTGTACAGTAGACATTACATTAAAATGGTCACTGCCGTTTGTGCTGACCCATGTTTCGCCTCAGATTTGACTGAAACTTAAACCTCTTGAAGCATGAAGGGCATTGATAGGGTAGCTCTCCTGTGTGGCTGCTCAGGTGATTCTTCAAAGTCATCCGATTTCTAAAGCTCTGAAGGCACAGGTGGCATTTATATCGTTGCTCTCCAGTGTGAGTACATAAGTGATCGTTCAATACTCTTTTTTGTGAAAAGCTTTGGGGACACAGGTGACACTTATACGGTCGCTCTCCTGTGTGGGTGTGCAGGTGATCCTTCAAGTGGGTCTTTTCAGAGTAGCCTCGGGGACACAGGTGGCACTGAAACGGCCACTTGCCCGTATGGACCCTCATGTGCCGTATCAGGTTAGACGGCTTGGTAGTCTCGTAGTCGCACACTTTACAGTAGTGACGGCACCCCGAAACTGACCTGCCTGCATCCGTGGTAGAAGGAGGAATGAAAAACCCCCCCAGCTGCACAAGGGAAACGAGGCAGGTTACTCACGCAATGGTGTTCCAACAAAAAGAAGATAAATCTTTGAGGTATTTTACACCACAGCTCTACGACTGCGTGTAATGTCACATTAAGAATATCTTGGTTAATTTCAAGCCACCTAGGCTTTTTATAACGTATGCACATGTACAAAAGAGTTGCGATAGTTGAGCCCTATTGCAATGCTACCACTGTAGCCATAGCTATCAAAAGTCAATGAAATGCCATCATAAGAATCATGAATGATTTTGACTGACACAAAGACTGTCGATGAAAAAATCTTTGAAGACAGTCAGAGAGATATATATATATATATATTTCACACACAACGAACATTCTAGCACCATTTATTCTGAAATTTCGGCCATGAGGCCGGCCTTCCAAGACGAAACCGGGTGCTTCTATATACGTATAAGCATGTCATACTCTCGTTGTTAAAGGAGTTGCAGTTGAAAAAAAAAAAAAGTTGTGTGAATTTGTAGCCTAGGGCAATAAAATTTTTACTGTATATAAAAACTTTCATGCTGATTTCAAATATGCGATTAGTTTTATAGTACATTGCACATATACACACACACATATATACATAGAAACAACATGTCATACATTTATTAACAGAGCAGCCAGAAAGCATCCTGCTAAAGAACATAAATGAGAAAACCTGCAAAGAACAACATATCTGCACAGCTCTCGAGTTGAAAGCAGAGGGGGATGCCTATATCTTAACAAATACCAGAGCAAGTAAAACTGTAAAGAAACAATTTTAAAAACATGTAGCTGACCCACAAATGGTTTTCGGATATTATTATTGATAAATATACACCAATAAAATCACATTATAAGGCAATACCAAATAAGTAAGCATATTTATATCACTTATCTTCCAATGCAACACTAGAGTATAATACACTAACAATCTCGTACAACTTTAGTGAGAGCACTGCAATACTATGAATGTGAAATATTCGCAAACACAGTAGCATAGTTGGCCCCAAGAAACTTACTTACAGAACTAATCAGGTCATCACTTGTCAAATGGTTAATTGGTGGAAAGTGCTTCTGTGCAACAGCACAT